ACCGTGGCGACTGAGGCGATAATCGCTCATATGTTGATGATCCTAGCGATTTTATCACCGGTAAAATCGACCGGTAAACGTGATGGACGCACGGAGAACGCCCAGAGTTAACGCCAGGGGATGAAACCCCTTGGGGACGTGATGGTACAATTTTTTATCTACCAATATTATTTTTATTATTTTTATTTTATCGGCGATAAAATCGCAATTTTTCCGTTGAAAAATGCTACTTGGGTTGGGTGATTTAATTTTACCGTGAATAATATTGGTAGATAAAAAATTGTACCATCAAGTCTCCAAGGGGTTTCATCCCCTGGCGTTAACTCTGGGCGTTCTCCGTGCGTCCATCACGTTTAGTGAAATTATAATTTTAAGTTATATACATAATAAAAAAAGGTTTGTTCATAGGGACAAAATTAATTGTTTTTAAGATAATAAGTACATTTTGCATTCCTCAATTTAAACAGTAGAAAATATACAAAGTTAATGCAGAACTTCTTGATAAACAATGTTCATTGCTGTGTTTTTATTTTTGTCGTCATCAAAATTAATGATTTTTATTTTTAAACCCTCTTTAGTCCTACATCTAGACAATGCTACATACAGTTGCCCGTGAGCGAACATTGGTCTTTCTTTATCTATAAAAATTCCCACTCTGTCAAACGATTGCCCTTGGCTTTTACTAATAGTCATAGCAAAAGCTAATCTAACGGGGAATTGTTTCCTATTCAAAACAAAAGGTAGGTTCGTTTGTTCTTTTGTGTTAAGTGTAATTTTTGGTAGTGAAACTATTTTTCCTTTTTTTTCTCCGGTTAAAATTGAGCAATGCAAAATGTATTTATTTATTTTTAAGACAATTAATCTTGTCCCATTGCACAATCCATCCTCGATACAAATGTTGCGTAGTAACATAACCACAGCTCCTTCTTTTAACTTCAAATTTTGACTTGGCATTCCTGAAGGGTTCAGTGAAGCTAAGTATTCTGGTTGATATCTCAGAGTTAACTCGTCTTGGTCTGTCAGGTCTCCGTCCACTGCAGTTGCCCAACTGAATCCTTCACTCACAATTGTTTCTCCTTCCATTTTTGAGAGTACTTCTTCATTCAATCTGTCAACTTCACAATTTCTGGATGCAAGAAGTATTGATGTTTTTAATGTTTCTTCGTTATATTCTTTAAAAATGCTATCAACAATGTTTTCATTACATATCATTTCTGATGGGAATTCAACTATTTCTTTCTTTCCATTTCCGATTTGTAGCAGCCATTCACTGAATTCTTCGTTGTTTGCTCTCATATTTTTTTTCAAGTGGAAGATTTTGAAATGTTTCCATAAAGGAGAGCTTATTAAAGCTGATTTGACTATTTGATTTCTGCTTCCTTTCTTTACTACTGGCAATAATTGTCTGAAATCTCCGCCTAGGCAAACTGCTTTTCCTCCGAATGGATCATTGTTTCTCATTAAATCTTGCAAGGTTACGTTCACTATTTGAAAAGCTGTTGACAATATCATTGAAGCCTCATCCCATATTATAAAATCAACTTCTGTTAATATTTGTTTTAATGCTGTTGTAAGTTTTGCCGGTTTAATGTCGTTTTCGGATGTCATCTGAAGTGGCAATTTAAAAACCCTGTGAGCTGTTTTTCCACCAGGAAGTTGATAAATGCGGTTATCGAAACGTGCGATTATCGATACATGCGATTTGTTGTGTTTGATTGTGTTTCATGGTGTGTTTGATGTGTTTGATTGTGTTTCATGATGTGTTTGTTGTGTTTGATGTGTTTGATTGTGTTTCATGATGTGTTTGTTGTGTTTGATGTGTTTGATTGTGTTTCATGATGTATTTGTTGTGTTTAATGTGTTTGATTGTGTTTCATGATGTGTTTGTTGTGTTTGATGTGTTTTAGGTGTATCATGATGTGTATATTGCGTTTTACGTGTTTCATGATGTGTTTGATGTGTTTGCTATGTTTCATGATGCATTTGATGTGTTTTATCCCGGTTCCTTAACATAGTTACATCCACTATTATAAATGACTATACTGTATAGGTAAAATTACTGCATATTATCCCGGTCACTCTGAAGAAATCCGGTTTTATCCCAGTCATTACTGCTTTAGAAAAAAACGATGTATCGAAGATCGATACACAAAGATCGATATCCTTCCTGTTTTCCCGGTTTCTTAATATAGGTACATCCCGTTTTATCCATGACTATCCTGTATAGGTAAAATTCCTCCACTTTATCCCGGTCACTATGAAGAAATCCCGTTTATACCAGTCATTACTGCTTTAGAAAAAACGATGTATCGAATATCGATACACAATGATCGATATCCTTCCTGTTATACCAGTTTATTAATATAGGTACATCCCGTTTTATCGATGACTATCCTGTATAAGTAAAATTCCTCCCTTTTATCCCGGTTATTATGAAGGAATCCCGTTTTATCCCAGTCATTACTGCTTTAGAAAAAAACGATGTATCGAAGATCGATACACAAAGATCGATATCCTTCCTGTTATCCCGGTTTATTAATATAGGTACATCCCGTTCATCCATGACTATCCTGTATAGGATGTAAAATTCCTCCCTTTTATCCTGGTTATTAGAAGAAATACATCCCATTTTTATACCTGTCTACCTATCAATAATTCCTTTACGGAAGAATACATTTAAATTTCCCGGGGATTTTCAATGACGTTTAATGATTGGTTAATGAAAGACCAATGAGAATGCGAAATGACACGGACGTACACACAAAAAAGGCCTTATTTTTTTTTACTATAGTAAGATGTCATTGATTTTGCCCCCTCTGCTGAAGAACCATCGAGGGAAATAGAACAGCTAATGATAGTTGCTTCCCATATTCTAAAAGGCCGTTACACAAATTTGAACCAAGTACCCACCTTCAAAGTTCTAGGTGTATCTTTTCTTTGGAAGTGGCTTTTTTACTGTAGAGAAATGGTAAAGAAAAAAAATGGCAAACCTGAATACATATCGAAGACTCTCGAAAATTTCGTATTCAAAGGTTTCCTCTTGGGCCATAAACTACGCTGCAACAGCATTGAACTTACTGCAAAATGGTATTTGCAAGTCAGTAAAACAGACGTCGCGCTAATCGACATCATGGCCTTCAATACTATTTTTGAAAATGACCCAATTTACATCAGTGAATTGGAAAATGACGCTTTATTTGTGAAGTATTTAGACTGTGCCTGTAAGGCGGCAAGGCTTTTAAGTGATGCGCCCAGTGCTCTGAAGGACATATCCATGTCATTGCCGGAAAACTATTGGGTCCGTCTGTTGAGTGATTATAACATATCATTGGATCATGCCATTAAAACCGGGACTAAAAAAGCTTGCAAAGAACTTCTAAAAATGTATTCTCTAAGGAAAGTAATTTTGAGCAGGAATCATCAAAATAGCACAAAGTTGAAGAGTTTAATGAGAGACATCGAACACTACGTAAACGGATGCTTCACCTGGTCTCTAAGTACCCCACGCTATCAAGTAGGAACGAAAATTTATACAAAATTACCGAAGAGTAAAATAAAATACAATAGTTACACCTGGAGTCTTTGTTTTTAGCCTCCTTTCAAATGTTTAGAGTTCCGATGGTGTAATAGACTTATTTTTAACTATAATCATAATATTTTAGTTCTTAAAAGTTTGGTATTCTTTTGTTCGACATTACGTTTTATTGTTATCAAAAGGGGGGGGGGAGGAAGTCTGCGGATTGTTATTTATTAAGGAATAGCTTAAGAGCTAATGAGCATCAACAATACAATTTTATAACTTTCTTTATTTCACCTCAAGTTCTATCTCAGGTCCTTGATAAGAGTGAGTTTAAGCACTAAACCTTCATTAAATTATGAAACTAGACTGAAAGGAAGTAACTAATTGATAGACTCTTTTTTCCTCCTTTCCGAACTCTATTCTTCCGATTCGTAGGAGCTTATGATGATTAGTGCGTCGTATATCACTAAAAATGAATGGAGGAATGTTATATTTTTAATTATTATCTCGAATGAAATGGAGTTCCTTTAATTGATTTATGAAAAATAAATTAAAAGAAATAAAATGAAGTAAAAAATTAGATAAAAACATAAGCGCAAAATTGACCATCTTATGCGTGCGGGGAAAGTAGAAAATTGAACGTAATGGAGCAGTTTATAAAAATGAAAGAATCCTAAATTCACAAAAAGAGAATAACGTGACATCATTGTTAATTGACATTGTCAAGCATGCTTTCCTCTCGTCAAGATAAAATAGCGACTCAACTTTCACGTCAAATTTTATCAAGCCAATAACCCCTGGACGCTTTAAGCATCCTTTCCATATCTAGTTCAGTGTAGCTCAGTATTTTTTTATTATTTTTAAATTTGATCGCAATCGTGAGTGCGCTTGAACAATTAATTTTATTATACCTGAAGATGGCAAAGTGAATGCCGAAATGATCATTGTATAATCGACACAACAAAAATTCATATCAGGAGTACAAGGTAAAAAGTCTATCCAATGTTAAGACATTTCCACGTTCATCAATTTTTAGAATATATATCTGAATATTTTTCTTATTTTGTGTTCTAGTGTCCTACACATCATCATCAAAATGTTTCCACTTGAAGGGTATGAAAACGTTACATTAATATTGCTGTATTTCCTAATTTTCGTAGCAGCTCTCAGTTCTTCCCTTCTTTACTTATCTTTCCTTCGACAAACATGGCGCTGGGAGCAGTTTCATATTCCGTTCTTGCAGCCTGTGTTCCCAATCGGCCACACATATTTTTCGAGCATCTTTAAAGCATCTGTGATAAAGTATATCGATCAAATTTACAACGAGAATCGTGAGAAAAAGCTTTTAGGCTTTTTCATGGGCACTTTACCCGTAATCCTCTTAAACGATCCGAAAGTAATCAATCAAGTTATCGTAAAAAATTCTAAGAAGACATTTGCCACCGGATTTTTCATTCCTGAGAGTGAAGTGGAAGCTCAGTACCTCGTTAATACAACAACAAACAAAGACATTTGGAAATTCTCACGATCAGTGATATCATCCAATATGTCGGTTGCCATGGTACGAGGTCGCAAATTCGATGCAATCAAAGAGGAAATCTCGAGGATGTTGCAGCAAGCCGAAATTACGAAGTCGGGCGGCCGAAGTTTGATGGTCCAAAGTGCAACAGGGGACGTACTTTCAAACTATGTAAACGCTGTCATTGGGGTAGGAAACGATTTCGACGACAGTAAGCAAGCTCTGGATGAAATGAGTGACTATACTAAGCCGTCGTACATGAAAATGCTAACCTTTTATGCGCTGATGATCTCACCAATTGTCCAACATTTTGAGCCACTCAGATTTCTGCCCCGAAAAAACTGTAAAATTTTGGCAGGTATTCTTCAACAGGAAATCGAGCACAGAGATAAATCCAAATCGGAACGGGACGATTTTGTGGATGTTCTCCGGTCGTTGAAGGGAAATCCCAAGCCAGAAGGAGTATCTCAAGAAGATTCAGTAATTACCACTGATTTCAAAGGTACTTAATCAATTTAGTAAAATGTGTAATAATGACGTTGAAAATTTGGTCCATATTATTCTGATATGATCCGATAAACAGGGAGAATAAAACTGAAAATAATTGGTCTTGCCGGATCAAAAAAAAAAAAAAACCGCTATTAATATGATGAACAATTAGGCATAGAACGATTAGAGCATTACATCATATGATTCCCGCTTAGAACTATGCACGTAAAACACAGTGATTCACGCAAAAAGAGCCCGAAAATCAACTACCAACTAATGATTGATGTGTGCAAAAACGACCACTTCATTCTATGTGCACACACACGCACAGACGCACCCTTACAAAGAAAGGAAAACTATAGCTATTAGAGCCAACTCTAAGCAAAATGAGACTTCACTGAAAGCAATCTCGTTCTACAGGGGTTAATATTTATTGAATTAGAGAAAGTTGCAATTTACACTTATTAGACTCAGCGGAATTTATTATGTCCAGTAAACGATTTCATCAGAAGAGTCATTGGAATGCTGCTTAATGTGGAGAAATACGAAAACGAGGAAATAAATATCAACAACTTCAAGGCAAATTCGCTTTCACATAATTCACTCTTTGTCTGCCATTGAAGCACTTTTAATTTCATTCAATTTTCAGAAATCAATTTGAGGCAGATGACCGGACTCTCCATGACAATATTGTTGGGAAGCAATGACACCACAAAAGGTCTCACACAGTTTGTGATTCATCTTTTATCTTTGGAGCCAGACCATCAACGCAAAATCAGAGAGGAGGTACACGTAGTCTTACGGAAACATTGTGTTGAGGAGTTAACGCATGAAGTCGTTAAAGATCTTCATTTCACTTTCCAGTGTATTCTAGGTAAGTTAGAATATATCAGTCCAGGGAATCTAAAATTTTTTGGGGAAAATTATAAAGAAGGTTTCTTTGCGGAACCAAATTATCTCTCCTCTCTTCCTACAGTTTCTTTCAAAACTAACCCTGTATCATGGTTTCTAATGTCGCCAAACATTATGCGGTCGCTGGTCGGCGCTAAAAGCGTATAAGCGCCTACAAGACTGCAGAAATACTTCACGCATTGCGCCTAATACGTATGTTATAATCTCCGAGACCTCCTTTTTGTATGCCTGGTAGCGCCTACAATAATTCCAGCGTTCTACAGAGCCGATTTTCATGATTTGTGCGGCTATCGACAGGCAATTGTCTCTAAATAAGCCCGCTATATTTAGATTTTGAAAACATGACCCAGGTTTTTTTATATTACGTGGTAAAATTGGGAATTCTCCTTTTTAAACAATGTACATTTTTATATTTTGTCACAATTCGTTTGAGCGTTCCACCAAGCCGATTTCCATGATTTTTGCGGTTATCGACAGGTGTTAGTCCTTAGATGAGCCAGCTGTAATCAGAATTGAAAATAGGACCCAGGTTTTTTTTTATATAAGAGTAGACCAGAGAGTTAGGGAGGGGGGCAAAATTTGAACTAAGCGGGAAATTTGGAATCTCGGTCCGTAAGTAAGATAAATAAATGGAAGGTGGAACCAAAGGATGTACCTTTGCAACGGACTATCAAAAAGTTATGAAACGCAGCGTTCCCTTTCGTTTCAGTCCTGGCGAGAAGTTTGAAATAAATGCCGATTTTTTCATTCGATTCTTATTAGTCTAACCGCTCCCGGCTAGGAAGAGATTGGACAAATGAGAGTCGGGTATGAAACTCTTTTCATTTGTTTTGTCGTTCTTTTATCGACGCGGGCCCAAGAGAGCGCAAAGCGTCCCCTAGAGGTTGGGCCGCGTAGCGGCTAGGGAGCATATCCCCTAGTACAATATTTTGATTGGAACGTAATAGTTATTTTTCTGAATGCATGCATTGAACCCTCTCTATTTTGGGGGCGGGGGGAGGGGCGAATCAAAATGACCTGCTCAGACAAACCTATTGGTATGTTTTAGATATTTTTTATGAGCAGATTTTGTTTTATAAAGAACTTTCAATTAGAGATCGACTGATTGTGAGACTAACTCTGCTCCTAACGCATAATAAAACGCCTGCTTTCCCGAAGTACGATGATTTCACACGTGTATATTAAATTGTATTCGGACCAGAATGAAGGCGCTTACTGTCGGTAGGGATTGAATTATGAATGATCAAATTTTATTGTTTTGTGCGGTTTTCTTCTAGCTTTTTAGTTCTATGTCTTTTTCTCTTTTAATAGTTTTAATAAAGATTAATAATTTTTGAAAAAAGTTGAAATTGAGCCATAAAATTCAAAGACTACGTTAATTCAAAGTTTTTTTTTCTTAGCTTATCAATCTTGTGTAAAGTTGAAGAATACTCAAGACGCAGGATAAGATAAAAAAGGAGAGAAAAACAATCCTCTTGCTTTAATTGTTGCACCAATGACCTACACTGGCGTGCTTAGGAAGAACGTCATATTAACATTCGGGAGTTGCCAAATTTTCCCGGATATAGCATTATTTTGTAGAAAAGTTATGCGTATTTTTCCTTGAAATTTTCAGTTATTTTAGAATGAATTGTATACAAAACTGTATGACGATTTTGAAGAAAAATATTCAAAATTTTCCCGGTAAATTATTTTTCTATTGAAAGAAATATGACATCGTCTGAAGGCTTAAATGCGGCGTTTTTCCTTAGCACGGCAGTACAGTAGGTTTATGAATAATCTCTTATATAATTCATATTTAATTTTTAGAGGCTGCTCGCTTATTCCCAATCATTCCGATGTTGATGCGGCGCTGCTCAGAGGATTTTCAAATCCCGAATACGGAGTACATCCTGCGGAAAGGAGATCGTGTGATTGTATCACCGTACTCCTTTCACCGAAATGAAACATTCTTTCCTGAACCTCATAAATTTGACCCGGAACGTTTCAGTGCTAAAAATCGACACAGTTCTCAACAGGAAGCTATCTTAAGTTTCGGATTCGCACCACGAAAGTGTCCGGGTACGAATGAATTGTTTTATAGTTATTGTTTTTCTAATTTTATGATAGAGAATTTTTAGGTGTCTTAAATTTTGTGAATTTCATCTTTAAAATGATACTGCTGGGAAAACTGAGTAGGAGGATATCCTTGGTTTCTAAATTGGACAATTATTGGAGAACATATGACAAAATAACCTTATCTGCTAAAATACATGTGTTTAAATTGAAAATGTGGCGGGGGGGTGTATCAAGTGGTATGCTAGTCGTACCTTTTCAGGTTCTTAAAACACATTTCAGCAAATAATCCAATCAATAGAACTAGGTTTTGATGAACTAATTTCAGTAAAATTTAGTTGCTCGACTTTTTTATTCTTTTTATTTCAATTTTTACCAACTCAACCCGATTTATAAATTGGTGCATTTTGAAAATGGAAATGAACAAGTAACGTCAAAGAAACGTTTATGTATAAAATACGTAATACCGTAAGGGGGTCTAAGCGTGAGTTATGAATGCGTTACTAAGGGATGAAGACCCAGGACTTAACGACTACGTTACGTATTTTTAACGCTAGAATGGACGCGTAGCGCCGATTTTGTGGAAATTTGGGTTGGAAAATCAATGCTTGGTGTCAATTTTTAATCGAAAATTCTTCACAATGAAACAGTTAGAAGGAGGTTGATTGAACAAAGCGTCTCATAATTTTTTTAGGACTGATGGACCTAAGATATATTTTGCGATGCGTATTTTATAAACGGTCTCTAATTCAAGTAAAGACTTCAAGGAAAAAAGATCACACGACTAACACGGAGAAAAATCTATGGCTTTATAAGCCAATTAGTGGTTCATATGGAACACCACTAATAGTGTTAAATGAACTTATAATTCTCGGTCTGTGTGAACCATGCTAAGGTATCTCGCACCATACTGAGGAATATATACCATCACTATAAGGTATACGCGCTATACTACTTTTAGTCGTGTTCCATATGAACCACATATTAGTTTCTGATCCATAGCTTTTTCTCGTATAGTGAAAACTCTCAACTGATTATGTGCATGAGTCTCTTGATGTATCGATACATCAAGTATTTTATGTATGTATATTAAGTATGTATATGTAAAACGGAAAAAAAGAGGGAAGGGTTGGTTAAGTTCCAACTTGGCCATTTTCAATCAATTGTGGTAGTACCCCAATAATAAATTGGGTTACTAGCCCAAATGTTTCGGTACTACCCCGACTTAAGTTGCGGAACTACCAAAATTGATAGGAAATGTGTAAATCAACCAATAAATTGGAGGCAGTACCACAAATTTAGGGTAAACCCCTAACACTTTTTTCCGTGAGGTAAAATAAATAATTATAACATATTTTGTCAAAAATCAAACAAAGCATCGGTCGATGTTCTCCATTCATCGAATATTCATCAGGATTCATTTATATGTATGAGAAAAAGCACTAAGAAGTGGCCCGAATTGTATGTAAAAAATAGGGGAAAAAGCCAAGAAATTCCAAAAAATGTTCAATTACAGTCAAATATTTTTTTCTCTAATAAGCACCAGTACAAAACTGAGGGAGGGGGTGTACAGTTCAGCCACCTTGTTTACATGTTTGTCTACAAGCTTTCGAGTTTCCTCTTTTTGAACAATGAAGATTTTTTTCACCTCGAGTAAGCATGAAAGTCACTCGTTAACATAAACACAAGTATTTTAAGTTGTACTTTCTTTGTTTGGGCAGGTGCTAATCAAGGCATGTTCGTAGCCGCAGCTATAATTGCATCTTTAGTATGTCACTTCGAGTTAAAACCAAAGTCACATTTGAAACAAATGAATGCTTCTGATTTTCACCCAAAATGTCTTCTGATAGCGCCGAAAATACCCTTGGTCGTTGACTTAGTGCATGTGCAAAGGGACACGGAGCAGCACGTTATTTGATGGTTTTATTCGGAATTTTTTTCTTCCGCCAGATTTACTTCGAACAATTACTGGTCGCTTCAGGGGATGAAATATCTTCTGAATTGGCCACTTGCCAATGGTTGTTTGTACTAATTGCACTTCACATAAGTGGAACATTTGGAAAAACAACTTTGAGCGTCAACATTATTTTCGTTGATATTGTTTCAATCATATCGCTCTTATGCAAGGAAACATAGTTTAGTATATTGTTAATCTAAAGGTCCCACATTTGTTGTTCAGGGGTGCAGAAAGTGCACGATTGACCGATCGCGGAGCAAATGTGAAGGCACCTGAAAAGGGGTAAAAAAATATGAATATAGGGCAATGGGAAAAATGGAAAAAAATGTGAAGATAGAAGCATTAACCCACTATAAGCGCATAGGTTTTTTGCTTAAGAAACTGTGTAACGTGCTCTCTTAAACATCATTTCATTCTCACTCCTAGCAACAAAATTTCCTTCGAAATCATTGACAGCCCCATAGTGTATACTTGTAAAGTATTGTACTTACTGAAAATAAAATAATATTTTGTTAATTGCTAGTTATTTATTACACTTCTGTTGGTAAATTATACCTAGAAGTATAAATGTTTAAAGTACTTGGCCAGCATTATGATGATAGCAATCAGCAGTACAAAAACGTGCAAATTAGTCCGATGTATACTTCAATTTTAATCCGTTTTTTTTTTTTTTTTTTTTTTGGTACGATATACATAAATGTGTCTGAACAAAATTTGTAGCTAAACCGCCACGCTTATCACCATAGGGACTCGGAGGTCTTAATACTCGTATCACTGTATCAGTCGGGGTCGATTATGTATGCCTCCACCCCCCTCCCACCCTGGATCCACAACCGAAATCTTTGCGCATTGTTCTGCAAACAGCCAACTTTTCATTAAAATCCACCGCTGCTCTCAATTATTATTTCATTGCTAGTTTTTTTCGACGCACGGGTGCACAGGAGACTGATATGGTTTTTTTGTCTCTTTCTTGAAGAGGAAGTCCACGTCTTCCGTGAATATCACTCGAATTCAACGTTTTCCTCTCGGAAGGATGTGCAACTCTTGGTCTGATTGTACAATCAAAATGGCTTATTCTTCCGAGGCAATATTTGCGAAATTCCCCTCTACTTTTGTCAACAAGGTTGATCTTGAATTCTTAATCAGAGTGGCACCAACGCCTGAAAGGTCGCACTGATGAAACAAACTTTGTGTCATTTGTCTTGTGCTTGACCACTTAGTCAGAGTTCAGTGGCCCATAGATGTGTACGAGGACTTACGTTTAATTTTTGTGTTGAGATTGGCGAAGTATTTCACCTACGGTAAGCCTCCACAAACATTATATTCGTAATTTATATTTGCCTCGTTTGTGTGAAATATTTTACCATGTACTGACCGAAAAATTCTGGTCGATATCCATGGATTTCTACCCAAGTTTTAAACTCGGTCGTTGACTCAAAACTTTATTTTAAGTTAAAGTAATGTTACGGGGTGACGGTCACCGCCTAAACACTTACTTTGAATACAGTGTCTCCAAATTGCCTTTTTTTTTCAAAATGAAATCAGTTGATTTTGTCGCAATTTTTCGACTTTGAAAATTATCCTCCAGAAGTGATCAATTTATCATTGATGGCTCCAATTTAATCAACTTTTCATTTTAGATGAGCCAAAAAATGTTATAAGCCCATTATTGAAATGTTTAAATTTGCCATTCATTTGTTCGCATTGAAATGCATTTAGAAAAAGAAAAATGAAATCTCTCAGCATACTCATCTATTTTGTACCATAGACACAAAAAAATCATTATATCTCAATAATAGAATCATCAAAATATCTGAACATATGTATTATTTATTCACTGTATATTGCGTAAGCTCGGAAGCAGAGAGAATTGAAAAAAAGTGTGTCACTTGGTGGTGAGTGTAAAATTTTTTTGCTAACGTTGAGAGGAAACATGTGCAATTTAGAGGCTCATATGAACCTCTGAATTTCATACACGACGTACCTCTGTTTTGCATGAGTCAATGACAGCGGCAAAAATAAAATTAAGATCGCTCCCTCCCTTTTGTCAATTTTAAAGTATTGTTCACGACTCTTCAATTTTTCCAAAAATGTCCAACTTCATTCCACCATCCGATTATTCACGGTTACAAATTAGTTCACGATTTTAGGAAATATTTCACACATAATGTCATTTGGTCCGTTCTTAGTTGCCTGAGCTACCGAAAAAAAAAACAGAGGCATACTTCTCAGGCTTTAAATAATGTCATAACTGATCGGTAATGTCACATTTCAAACAACAATGAGGAAATTTATCTCTGATTTAATTAACGTTTTTTTGGACAGGGAAGTCTCTCCGCGTATTCAAGATTTACATTAGCTTTCTTCAAAAATCAATGATGGGATATTTTCGCCACAAAATTATGTAGCAGCCTTATTGTAACGTCAGTTTTTATTTATTTACAGAATGACTTCAGAGTTTCTTTAGGAGTTGTAGTCATGGCAGCATATAGCGATTACAATCAGCTAACCAAGTTCGACAAGTCTATGTACAACTCAATAAAAAAATCAATCTTCCATGTGACCCAGAAACTCGGTTCAGGAGTCGTTTGTCCCGTGCCATATGATACAGCATGGGTCGCAAGAGTGCCTGCAAAAAATACCACGCAACCCGCATTCTCTGAATGTTTGGCATGGTTGCGCGCCCATCAAAATACCGACGGAGGTTGGGGAACTAAGTATCCTTACTGCCCCTACAGTGATGTGCTAAATACTGCCTCTTCCTTACTAGCATTAACTCAGTGGAACTATCCAGAGGATAAGATATTAATAAAAAATGGAGTCGCTGCTCTTAAAAAAGTGGTTAAGCATTTGCCGCACGTACAAACGGAAGATGGTGCTTTTGAAATGATCATATCTGGCTTAGTCGCGGATGCCCGTGAGTTGAAATTAGACCTAGATTATGAGAGCTTTGAATGGTTTTCTTCGATCGGGCCAAAGAAACTCAGGTGACAAGCTTTCCGATATTGCACTATTGGACTATTGCACCATTGCACTATTGGACAAGTTCCCAGCTGATGCCAGCACAATATTTACTTTTTAAAGACCCCATATGATGAGATAATATGATATAATTTTCTCAGACTAACGAGTTATTATTCAATACTAACTATAAAGATAATTTTTATCTCGGCGTCAATTTCCTGTGTTGCGTTTGTACCATTAATCAGTGAATTACCTCAGTGCTCAAATGTTCAAGTGTCGAAATTACATTCAAAATGTTACAATTCCTGTTATTTTACTTGTACAACATTCCTCAGGTAAGCGTAATTATACGATTTGAACACTTGTTTAATCGGAAGATGTAATTATTATGAGCTTCGTATCAAAATTAAACATAGAAAGGACCGTCTCAAATGAACACTCACGAGAGACGATTTTTATGATGAGGAAACGGTGAAATGCTCCCTGTTTTGTCTAATCTGTGTCCTTATTTTTTCCGTTTCTATACCAACTCCAACTCATTTTTTCCCCGTAATATCCAGTTCCATTCCAATAATCACTACCCGCTTTGTTCTGTTACGATCTCCTTTGCATTTCACTCTTTTCCCCAAGGAACTAGTATAGATTAGCACAACTGACCACTGATTCAGAGGTTTAATTTTCTTCTCCACTTCACAAAATGTCTTCTTGCCTTAGCAGTTCTGTATAGAGCATTTTTCAGATGAAAAACGCCCTTTCCATTTTCTATTTAGGGACTTTACTGACTTTTGCGCAGTTTATATACTACCCACATGGAAACATCTTGTCAGTCATCTACAACGTAAACAATAACAAATATGAATTTTCTGTCATTATTTATGCAAACATGGTCATGATGTTTTCAGCATAGATAGTGATTACATCGGCTTGAAAGGAGTATTTTTATTTGAGCCGGGCTCGATAATCAAATCGCTTCCAAAGATTTCTTTTTCTCCTTTGAATCAGCTGTCTCTTAAAACGATGAAGATTTAATGTACAACTCGTTTCCTCATTTCTTTATAGACGGTTAATTGTTTTGTAGACCTATCAGATAGAGAAGTAGCACCATTAGATGATGACGGACACAAGTTGCACTTACAACCTCTCGTGGTAAGCAAACCTCATTTTTATGACATTTATTTTCATCCCTCTGAATACAACCACGAATTAAGCGTGTATATGGTATTTCGAAGTTGCCCGCGCTACTAAAAATGTTATAGGTATAATTTGCAAGGAATCTCTTTAAATGTTAAGGCACAGCGTAACGCTTACCTACAGTGCAACCCACATGCACTAACACCTATGCCCAATAACACAAAGAAAGCATCTTCAAAAGAAATTGACTCATAAATATGGATAGATTACGAGAATGCGTCTTGAAGAGTTTCGAAATGAGTGCATGCTTTGAATTTGATTTAATATGCAAAAACCACAAGTCATCGATGAGGTTTTCTGCACGATTGATTGATTTGCCGGTTAATTGAGACAAAGTTTGTTGAAAAAAGGAACAGTTCATAATGAAAGATTCGATATACTGATGCAAAATTTCGTATATACGTTTTTGTATCATACGGAAATATATTTGACAATATTCACTTACACGTAAGGTCTTAGACTTTAGTCCGACAAAACATCAGGACAGGGGAGTAAACTGTCAAAAGGGAAATAGAACCGACATTAATGACCCTCACAAATTTTAGAGATTTTTTTCACAATTTAATTTTTCCCCCTGGAGATTTCTCAGCATGTTTTGTTTTATTTTTATTTTAAAACAGGCTGAACCAGGAAAATTTAAGATTACCTTTGGTCAGCTCGTAAATGAATTCAAGAACATAGAAGATACGCGCCAGTCCGCGTTGAAACAAATACTGCGAAGTCCTCAAGTGACAAACAACAACAAGACATCGAAATTTCTGGAAGTTGCCACGAAACTTGACATAGCTTTTATGCGAATAAGGATCTACTGTGATGCTGCTCGCGTTGTCTTCGAAGCTATCAACTTTACCCAGCCAGATGATAACTTCCTGAGGGTAACTTATTCCGCAATTTCAATTTGAATGATTTGAATGAGAGATCCGTAATCGCACGGTGCATTCATATGTTATGTTTTGAATTAGTTTGGTTTCAACTTTACACTGGTTCTACTTGTTACAGCAACGCTGTTTCTCTTCCCATATCTCTCAGCATATATTTAAATGCGGAGTTTTCCTAAGATAGTAAAGCAGTGCTTGGTCCACACTGGCGGGGAGTACAAGGCCCAAAATGTCAATTAGCGTAAAAATTGTTGAGCTTAATAGGGCACCAGCAGTGCTCAGCTTACTCGGATGCATTGGAATATTAAATTGAGGTTACGCCGAGGGATCTGTAACGTTCTGGTTTTGTTTTTAAAAGTCATCAGTAGATCACACTCTTCAGTGAGCATCAGTCATGACGGTGTTTCCATGCCGTCTTGGATTTTGCGGGATGCTACAGATGGGCTCACTGATGAGTGTGATCTGTTGATGAAGACTAAGTACAAAAACTCAAAACTCCATAGATCTCTCTGCGTGGCCTTAGCTTAATATTCTAATACATCTGCATAAGCTGAAACCTCTCCCCCCTTAGTCTTGTACAGGTACTGACGAAGGCTCAAAATGTCTGACGCTGATTGAAATTGTTGAACTTTTCGGCCTTTCCCCCCAAAATAGAGTGGGCTCAGAATTATTTTACCGCCTTGTCACACACAGTTCGGGCCACGTTTCTTAGTGTTTTTTTATTTGTTGTCCCATGATTTTGACACAAACCTTCAGAAGTAAGACGTGGTCGCTGCTGAAGAGTTTACGCTCTCCAAAAATCCTCCTATACGTGTGACGAAAAACTGTGTAAGGATAAACACCCTTAAGCCTTAAGGTTATGAATCTTGCACAGTTTCCTTTGATAAGACACACATTTTCCGGTACATTTATGAGCATTTCTCTTCCAATTTTCAAAATATTTCTTTCGTAATATGTTCTAAAATAGGTACCTCGAAATTCCCAATAAAAAAATACATAAATTATGTGAAACACACAATTTTTTATCCAAGGGAATCTAGCAACATTCGAGTGCTCTTTTGGGTTTTTTTTTTGGGGCTATAGCAAAAAACAATCTTAGAAAATGCGATTACTTCATCTATTCATCCAAATACAGGCAAGCAACAACGCTTTGCGTCGTGCATTTTATTTACAAGAAGGTAATAGAGCGTATTTTGCCTTCATTTAGAAGAGTAGGCAGAAATGAATCCTCAGCGTTAAAATAGTGGTATCGTCCGCCGACATTAATTTGTTTGCCTCACTTTCATATATTCCTTAAGGTTTATGTGTAACTTAAATTGTAGTAGAATGGAGATGTTGCATGTGTGAAGGATTTGCGATTTGACCACTGATTCTTTATAAGTTTGCGAGAAACACGATGGTGCCACTAGTTTTCTCTGAAATCATCTCTCAAGCTCAAAAAAAGCTCTCAAGTTGAGGCCAAAATGGAGGGGATATCCCACCCTACCCTGAGAGTCCACGTCTACATCAAGACAAACTCTCCATGCAAAGATAGGGAGCAAATGCATTAGCAGTGATGCCACTTTATTTGGGGACCCCAAAACTGAAAACACGGCAACCCTGCTAATGTGTTTGCTTTCTATTTTTGCATGGAGAGTTTGTCTTGATGTAAAGGTGGACTCTCAGGATAGCGCGGGAAATCCCCTCCATTTTGGCATCAACTTGAGAGCTTTTTGGAGCTTGGGAGTTGATTTCAGAGAAAACCAGGGGCACCATCGTGTTTCTCGCAAACTTTTACATAAGAATCAATGGTCAAATCGCAAATCCTTCACACATGCAACATCTCCATCATACTCTTTTCACAAGCCGAGCATTCGTATCAAAGAGTGAGAGTTTAGGATCGCTTTATTTAGTTGGCCTATGAAGAAATCTGTTGATGATTTCATAATTTTTAGAGGCTCGCAGTAATATTTTTCCGGGCCGGCATTGAAGAAACTCGAGACTCACGCAGTAAAAAGATAATTATTGAGAAGGTGACTTTGACGAGTAGGATGAGAAAAGTTCCTTTTGAAAGTTTGGTAACGTTTTGAGTACGTTTATCTCTAGCAGAAGCCAACCCTTTCGCGATTCTGAGTAGTGAACTAAAAAACAATTCGGGTCCAACGGAGTCAAAGGAGATTAAGATCATTTTTCCATACTCTTGGTATTCAAACATTATTACTGATGATATTACACCGATTATTTTCAGGTTTTTTTTTAGATTTTTTAGAGACCTACATAGAAATTCAATGTAAGTACCGAATCTTAAAAAAACAAAACCTTGAATAATTTGTTCCAGGCAGCAGCTGTCATGAAAAAAGAGAAGAAGTTAGACGATCAGATAGCAGACTTATCTGATTTGTTTGAAAGGATGGAAGAGTCACTCACAGATTTAACAGAGGAGCAATGCGATCCGTTTCAATCTTTCATATTGTGTGTATCATACACACAAATGAAATTGGAACAGTTGGCTGTGCAGTATGCCGAAGATTATCAGAAAACTATAAAAATCGCCAAAGACAACACTCAAACCTAGTATATCGACGGTGAAAGTCGGCAATCACATAACTCGTTTGCGGTGTCTGAAAATCTCCGCCTATACGTCATTTTTTTAAGAGAGAACAAATTGACATTATTTCTTGAAGTTTTTGCAGAATTTTCTTCGAATTGAGAAGAAAAATCATGACAGTTTTAAAGAATAGCCGTTGAGTAGTTTTCCATTTAAAAAATAAAGTATGACAAGAAGTCTGCGACGTCGCAAACCGAGTTATGTGATTGCCGACTTACACCGTCGATATAACGTTACTTACGTTCAGTGGACATAACTGCTTTTTGTAATTGTGTGGGCTTTTCCTATGTAAATAACGACAGCAGATCTGAACCTGAGCACTTGAACCGTGAAATTGCCTGATGTAAAAAAAATGGCCAGTAGAATTATGTTTAGGGTACTTCCTGATGCTTGAATACAGAATGTAGACTCGTCTTGTCTTTTTACAAGTGAGGATGATTATTTAGAATGGAAACACGGGACAATGCATTTTAAAGCATAAGCAACTTTTCTTTTCAGCATTTCGTGTAAAATCAATTATTTTGGAATAACTTAACAGCCTGAAAAGACTGAATATTGTTTAAGCTGATGAAAAAACTGAAAATTCAAGAGGGAAAGTATTTATTTCATTGTATCTAAGGGATTTTGTTATTTTGACTTACAATCAGTTAGTAATTTTCGTGTGTACGGTTACATGGGGCTAGTTTTCTTTTGGTTAGGTCAGCAAACCCCCTTTAACTGCTCAACACTATTTCTGATCAAATCAACGAAACCTTAGATTAGTGTGAGATTTACTGGGATTTAAAATACCCTGCTGAATTAATATAATTTTGTTTCTTCCCATTCTGAGGCTGCGACTTGCGAGCGGCGAGCGCTCTGAACTTCTATCAATGTTAATGCCGGATTTTTAACGAGATTACAATATTTCAACCCATGCAAAGATATGATCTTTGTAACCCAAAAGAGAGCTAACCAATAGTTAACTTCGCGTCTAGGTCACTTTGTGTTCTGTATCCCAAATTAACGCAAAATGTCGGTAACTTTTTTTTAATGTGTATAGCCTCTTTGATCCATTACGATTCATCTTGAACAAGAAACACGGCTGTCCAGCAAAATTATCAAACTTCAAGAATATGGTAACAAATTTCCAATATTCTTATCTCAAGCAAGTGATGTACTATGTATATTTTTTATTTTAGTGTAAGACATCATCTGAGTTAATTTATAATTTCCTCCGGTTTTTCTTGCAGTATTCAAGCAAATATTTTTACATAATTTAAGTACCGAAGTGATATTCTGAATGCGTCTAACATAGATTTAATGAATTATTGTATCTTTAAAACGTTAAATTGATCTCAGTTTACTAATGTTAATATTTGCAGTACATTTCTATTTTGCAACTCACTCATGTATGTATATAGGGAAAATAATGACATGTATTTTGTTTTAAAAGAGAGCAAGCAAGGTTTTTGCGTGTATGCTCGCAAAATGCGTCGATTACCTGAAAGGAAAGCAAACCAAATCAAATACTAATTTTATAATCGGTCGACTAACTGTACAACTACTGTTTTAACTTAAGTACAAAATACAGAAGCTAACCCCTTCTTCCCACCAGTCACTGCACGGAGTCATTGAAGTTGCGCTTGGAATGTCTCGGTGCATGCGCTGTTACCACTATGACCGCAATGTGTTTCAAGATACGTTTATAAGTAAAATATTTGCCCCCAAAATTCACGTTATGTCTTCAAAATTGTCTCGAAACTTGTCTGCCCTTTCTTGAATTTTTGCCTAATTTTCCCCTTCATTTCTATTCCCTCACTGTAACATAAATAATTTCAGGGATTTTAATGACCTTTCAAATAAATTACTGTTTTTGCGTGAAGGTATGCTTTAAAAGTCCTGACCTCCTTTTTGAGAGTCGGATTGGAAGTAATGTTCAAAAATAAGTGTACAAAAGTCGACCATGTAGCTATTTAAGTGAATTTTGTCTCAGGTTTATACTTGTCGTTACATACGTCAGAAAATAGCTCTCAAGCTTATCCAACCAAATGGACGAAAATTCTCTCATAATTTGTGCATTCAAAACAGTGTTGAAGATTTTCCTGAGTAAGTTGTACGCAATACTGCAAAACTAAAATCTTCCACTGTGCTCTTTTCGTCTTTTCTCTTAATCTTAATTAAAAACTAAATGGAAAAAGAATAATTGAACATTTATTTAACTCGATTCCTTTTCCCAGCTTTGAAGAAAAAAAATTTAAGCGTGCCTAATTTTTGTTCCATGATATATTGTTTGAATCATATAATGCTTATGGCAAGTATGAATTTCGGTGTTGTTTATGTAAAGGTCGCACATTTATTGATACTGCTTTTAGTTTGAAAGGTGCACGCAATATGCATAGTCTTGATATTTGTCACGTCCAGTCTTCTAAATGGAACCATGTGGTGGGTGAGCTGTATCGTTCCTGTCCATTCTCATAGTGAACTAAAATTCGAAATCTGTAAAAAGGAAGAAAATACCATGAACAGTAACCAAGGACGAACAGTGCACCACATGATAAACAATGATTATCAACAACAAAACTACTTAGCAGTAACTAATCTGTTTTAAAAAGCCACGATTTAGATGTAGTTTCTTCTATTACACGGCAGCATGAAATATACCTCGTCACCTTCCGGTCAAAGTATCACAAGCGCCATGCGACGTTTCAAAATTTCCGCCGCGACTTTATTTTTTTACAGAGAAATTGTTGGTTGAATCTATTTAAAAATTTCACTGAATTTTATCGGCAGTCCAAAGAAAATTTAGTGAAATTTTCGACCAGCTTCGTTGGACAATTTCTCTGTAAAAAAATAAAATGACGGTGAAAATTTTAAAACGTCGCATGGCGCTTGTGATACTTTGACCGGAAGGTGACGACCTGATCATTTGCGAATACGAATTGCGATTGTTTAAGAAAAGTCAAATCAATTTTTTTCTTTTATTCTTTCTTTATGTTGTAAAAATATCAAATGCAACAAAATTTAACGCAAGAATCTAATTGAGTTCTTCCTATATTTTCTGTGCAGTAGCATCTTCCGTAAGTATAATTTTTCAATTTCACTATTATTAAAATCATTTTTACTAAATTTAAAGGCTCATCTAACAAGAAGCTCACTTAGGAACAAACTTATAAGGAAATTATTAAACCCCTGGAAAAGAGAAAAAGTCATTGGAAATATATGCGTATTCTTACTTGTATCTCCGGAAGGTCATTAGCTGGTCAAACTGAAAAGCACGGGTCCGGGCAGGTAANCTCCGGCCGTGGGAGCCGTAATTACGGGCTATATAGAGCTACCGTCCGTTCCGGGCTCAAAGGCCGGAAATTCCGGCTGCTGGAGCCGTAACTTCGATTGCTCCGGGTTTAGAGGCCGAAACTACGGCTCCAGCAGCCGGAATTTTCGGCCTTTGAGCCCGGAACGGACGGTAGCTCTATATAGCCCGTAATTACGGCTCCCACGGCCGGAGTTTTTTTTTCAGTGATCTTAAAATCTTATATGTTCAACACGGAGAGAAATTATACAATTTTAACAGCAATTTTTTTAAAAGTAGAACTTACAATCATATCAAGTAATGTTAAAGATTATGATGAAAAACCTGCAACCGATAGCACTATGTTTACTGATTATGTCTCTCTTAGTTCTGTTTACATAATTCGATCCTTATCGTTGTTCAAGTGCATGTTGATTTCACATTTTTGTCTGTGTTTAATTTTGTTTAAATAACTCTTTCATTACTTTCCCTTAGCTTTTTTGATCATAGTTTTCATTGGAAAGAAAAAAAACATTAGATCTAGAGTCAAGACTCTGGAAAACATTGACAAGAAAAAATACTCTTGATTTAATCGGATTTTTGCTTGAATTAAAACGAAAGGCGCTTAGATTAAGAGGCTTGATTCTTGATTTAAGCTAGATTCTGATTGAATCAAGAGTACTTTTTCTTGTCGATGTTTTTAAGAGTCTGGACTCTGGATCCAATGTGTTTTTTTCCCCAGTGTTTACCATGCATTGTGATACATTCTCATCTTTATATAGTGCTCTTGCTTGTGTTTTTGTGCATTTTTCTTGCTGAAGATGGCTTTTAGCCGAAATGCATCCGGGAAAATATACTGTTAATTCTTCATGAAATGCGTGTTCTGGTATATCTTTTAATTAGTTATTTATCTTACTTAAAGATGCTCAATAATAGACACTATCAAGATTACCTCCTCGTTTCCTATCCCAGTTAGATAGATGACTTTTGAAAGCCTCTGGGTACTCAACGTCCTTGTCTATTGGAACTGGCTTGGGTGTTGTGGTTGTCTTTGGCCCTATTCTCATCGTAAAGTCGTACAAGAGCCCATGAAATCAGACAATCAACAACGTAAATCACTCAATACGCATGTACTAAACAGAAAGGAAAAGATGATCTTCATTTGAATACAAAATGTCACAATATTGAAACGATGTAAAAAAACTGGAAAATTAGACTCCTCTCCGTAGTACAATGGACCACTAGACAAAGTACGAATTTCAGCATTCTGATACATGTTTCTCAATCAGAATTTCACGTAGAACACGATACGCACAACGAAAATTACCAAAATCAACTCCTGACGAAGATATTTAAGGATTCTTGATGCTCGAATTCAAACCACCCGCTCATGAAAACTCAATGCTCTACGTGATTCACATCGCGCGCTAAATGTTTATGATGACAGTCTCTGCGATGTAAAAATCTTCAACTTCAATCTTGACACTTTGGCTCAGCTATAGCAAATTACCAATAGTTTGAACAACACATGGTGGAAAATGAACATTGCTCGATTGAGAAGCTTGCTGAAACCGTTGTAGTGCGCGATTTGACTCACGTAGAGCTTTGAGTTTCTTGTGAGCGGGCAGTTCAAATTCCTCGTAACCAGTGCGAAATAAAAACGTGAATATCTTCGTTAGAAGTTGATTTCGGTAATTTTCGCAGTGTGAATCGTGTTCTACGTGAAATTCTGGTCACGAAACATGTATCAGATTGCTTAAATTCGTACCTTGTCTAGTGGTCCATTAAAGAGTTGTAGAGTTTACCTCACTACACCAACAATCTTGGATGTAAAAAAAGTGTATGAGAACTTATAAAATTCTGCATTACCTGCCACAGCAATTAGATTTACATCTTGGCAATGCTATAGTTACTATATACCGTAGCGGGCAATTCAGCATTTTATAAGTTGTCGCACGCTTGGTATACATCCAGAATGTTAAAGCAACTTCACTTTTTATGGTGTGGTTGTGCCGAGGTGTACATACTTCATCATAGTATAATCAGTAGCTCAACGATATGTTAAATGGCTACACTCTGTAAGCAGAGGGTTTTTAGAGAAATCTGAGCCTTTTTACTTATGATAAAATATTAGTACCCGAGAGCAAACACTTACTTAATTCTAACTCGGGCCTCCATTGCATTAGGGTATCCGGTAACCATACAACCCGGGTGCCACACCACCGGCTCCATTCACTACATTGGGACCACTAGACAAGGTACGAATTGAAGCACTCTAATACATGTCCCATGAGCAGAAATTCACGTAGAATACGATTCTTGCATCGAAAATCACTGAAATCACCTCCTAACTAAGATATTGTATATATATATCACCTCCTTTTTGGGGACCTACAAATCTCAATGACTTAATTTTTCCAAAAATGCGAGTTGGGTATCTTTTTTTCTCTAGGCCACTGATACAAGCACTGCATGTACTAAGTTACTTTCGACACAGAGCGTTTATTTAAGCATGACCATTTTCAACTGTATCAAGATTCTTCCTCGGTACAAGAAATAGTCGTGGAAATTTTAAGAGCAAAATAAGGGTTTTTAAATCTTGCGAGTTTTTCCCAACTTGATGTCATGCTGTGTAATATAACATGTATATCATATATGTGAGATTTGTGCTCGTATTAAATCCTCCCACCTTCATATTAAAAATTAGTATTAGCCGATTGACCTATTTAGGTCTGCATGATGCGAAGTCTGCCTTACCTAGTCCTCTTCGTCTCCCACGTCCACGGCCACGTCCACCACCGTACCGAAATGTTATTTCATGATTCGCTGGATCTCTTTTCTCAACATTTGCTGCTCCTGAAAACAAAGAAATGAATCAAATAAAAATAAAACGCATGCAATGAAAGGAGAATCAGGGCCGGATTTACCTACTTGCCGCCCATGGGCCTGTATTTTTCCGCCCCCTTCTCATTTGTTTTCAAACATCAATAGGTAGTATTCGACAGTGGTTCGATGTATCGTCCGGTTCAAAACAATAGAACATAACCTCAAACAAAAATTTTAGGATTTAATTCGGAAAAGCTAAAAATGAAAAAATTCCTAAAAATTTCACTTTTCATTGCCATTTGGTACTCGAGAGAATAAAAATTCGACCACATAAGACCCGTTACCTCAGATTTCTAAATTGATTTTTGAGGCTGTGGTTATATATTGAACCAATCGATATCAATGTAATCTCACCTGTGTGATCTGTCGAATAACATCTATAAAAACCAGCAAGTGAACGTGCCGGTGGAGAAGGGGTGAATGAGACGCGTTTACTCGTGTTGGGCACATTTTTTGTGAGAGCCCTGTCAACATTAACAAAAGTTCAGTTCCGTAAATCCATCCCTGTTTGGACAAGTCCTTCCATTTATAAAAAAACGAACGAAAAAATTATGAAAGAACAATCATAAATGCGGTTAATAATTTTAACTTCCGCCGCTGCCCGACCGCACTGTGTTGACGCAATGCAAGAAGTATTCATGCAGTCCTGTAGGCGCTATGCGTTTCAGGCCGACTGCTGCTAACCGCAGTGTGTTTGACGCAATGCGTGAAGTATTCGTGCAGTCTTGTAGGCGCTATGCGTTTCATGCCGACGCGACCGCCGCACCGCTCCGTTCCAGGACTTCCAGGTCAAATTGCGTGTTTGGTTTCTCTCTTAACTCGACTAATTAAAGGTGTTGTCTCTTGTATCACCGAAAGACGACAAAATTAGAAATTACTATACTTTCACTCTTAGGAAATGAGAGATTTTAGCGCCTTTTCTGGTTTGTAATTTATTTTCTGAATCCGATTTCTCTCCCTTTTTTTGATACTTACATTCAAAAAGATTGCAAAATTTGCCGCTCCCTACATTTTGCCGCCATGGGCCGCGGCCCATGTGGCCACCCCCTTAATCCGGCCCTGAGGAGAATAAATGAAATACAAGGGAAAATGTCTTCATTATACGAGACATGCATCACTGAAGCCCTCGAGTTGGAATAGTTGTATTCACTCATTGCCATCACCTCATTGTTATGCGCCTATGACAGATGTGGACCAAGATTAGATTAAAACTAAATGATGGAGAATTAATGTCTCACAAGTTGTTGCTAAACTAACACAAAACCACAGAGAGGGATTCTATTATTACATATTTTTGTACAATTATCATTTTTCCGGTTACCTTGTTTTCCGTCATGCCGTCTTGCAGAAATGCATAATAATGGTCCTCCATTTTTGTTTGTAAACCGTGATGACTAAAAAGTACAGCTCTAATATTATTTTAATCTCTCACAAGATTTGGTGAAACTATATATTGGAATTTATGAATTACACTTGTTTGATAATTTTGCCTGGTGAAGTAATTGTAGTGGATAGATAAAATGATTTACCTTGAACCTTAAATTTTAGTTCCCGGACAATTGGGATTGAACTAGAGGGGTCAGAAATTTCCATCTGACAGGTGTCTTCGGTGACTATTTTCGCGAAATCCCAGAGTTGCGGCCCGGTTGATTCCAAGATGACCACTCCTTTCTTTCCATTTTTCGGTGGAAGTATGTGGCGGGTTGTTACACAGTCTAGAATAACATTTAATTCTACAAAAAAAAAAAAAAAAAAAAAAAAAAAAACATGTATTATTTTGTAAAACAAAATTAAAAGTAGAACTGAAAAATCATGTTTTGAAACAGTCCATGCTTTACACACTTCTCTCCTCTTCTCGCAACTTGCTTTACTTAATAAACTAGCGCAAACCTTTAGATACAAGAAAAATAAGAAGTTGTATTAATTAAAATGAGGGATAATGAAAAGAAAATTAAAAAAATTTACTATAGCCGCATTTTCTTAAAGATAGAAGCTAAAATTTTGACAAAAAACAAATAATCAGAAAAATTATCTAAAGCTTACACATAAGTAATTTTAGCGCACTCGCATGAACATCCCGATCTGGACCATGGATATTCATGCGGATAATAAAGGAAAAACGACGGTATGAGCAGGTTGTGGTTAAAGCCATTATAAGGAGAGTTAACGTTTGTTGTTCTTACTCACCGGTGTGTAATGATCGCGGAGGTCCTAAATGAAGCTCCCGTTTCTGTCTTGAGAAAAAATGTCTGCTAGACTTACGCAGAATTGGAGTTTTACATTGATATATCCGACTATTGACTGCAAGCACATGGTTCAAGAACGCATTAGGACTTTTAGTTGAAACTGTAAACTGGGCTGGAGCTAGAAAGGACAGACGAATAATGATGAATACACCTACAATACCTACATGCACTAGTGGAAAATAAATGCAATGTTTAGAGAGAATGTGGTATGAATTATGACTTTGGATTCAGAGTCACTTATCGAGTTCACATTTTCTGCATGAAACCAAATGGAGAAATAGCAATTTTGCAGAACTCCTTCCAGTGTTCCTACGTGAAGGAACCTCATATGCCTACTTTATGGATTGGAGGCGAACAATATTTAGTCATTTTCTTCATACATGACGTTGTGTTATCACGTTTTCGTCTCATCTCTTCAATTTTTTTTCCATTCATAAACCAATTTTGATGAGAATAAGAAATGAAAGAAAACACGGATATGCGTAGATGCCTCTTTCATTACATTGCAGCCCGATTATTTTTAACAACCTATTCTTTTGTTATTTTCCGTAAAAATAAGACAAAATAATGTAATAAGGAGGCTATTTTATTACAAGGCTTTTTTTGTTTCTCTAGCTATAATGATTCTTTAAAAAAAAGTAAAAAATAACTGTCAAAGTCACGTCAGTAAAATAACAGAAATAAAAAAATTGACTGTAAAGTGACTTTTAGCTTTTTACATATCTTACGGCAGGAAAATATTGTATCAATTATTCAGATATTTTCATGCATGTGTTTAATGTTTTTTAGACTAAGAGGAACGTTGTATCTGATGGAGAAGTGAAAAAGGTTATGAGCAGGACCGGATTTACCTACTTGCCGCCCATGGGCCGCCTGTATTTTGCCGCCCCCTTCTCATTCGTTTTGAAATATCAATAGCGGTGGAGGGGTGCATAAGACGCGTTTACTCGTGTTGGACACATTTTTTAGGAAAGCCCTGTTAACACTACTAGCAAAAGTTCACGGAAATTTGCGCAAAAGTTAAGTTCCGTAAACCTATCTCTGTGTGGACAAGGCCTTCCATTCAGAACGAACAAATTATGAAAGAACAAAAAAAAGTGTAGTTTAATGATTTTCACTTCCGCCGTCGCGCCGCGCAGCCTGCACCGTGTTTGGCGCAATGCGTGAAGTATTTCGACAGTCTTGTAGGCGCTATGCGTTTCACGCCGACCGCTGCTGGACGCACTGTGTTTGACGCAATGCGTGAAGTATTCACGCAGTCTTGTAGGTGCTAAGCGTTTCACGTTTGATGCAATGCGTGAAGTATTCTTGCAGTCTTGTAGGCGCTAATATGTATTACATGCCGACCTCCGCGCCGAGGACTTCTCTTTTTCATCTCAAGTCCTCGTCATCATTTCTCTCAAAGTCGCGCCGTTCCAGGCCAAATTGCGTGTTTGGTTTCTCTCTTAACTCGACTAATTAAAGGTGCTGTCTCTTATAACACTGAAAGACGACAAAATTAGAAATTACTATACTCTCAGGAAATGAGCGAATTTGTCGCCTTTTCTCGTTTGTAATTTTTTTTTTTTCAAAATCCGATTTTTTTTAAAAAAAGTGCAAAATTTGCCGCCCCATTGATTTGCCGCCATGGGCCGCGGCCCATGTGGCCACACCCTCAATCCGGCCCTGGTTATGAAACGAAAAAAGAAAATAATTATTTTACCCCTCCTCTCCACGTATATTTTGAAGTAAAATAAAATAAGTCTCTTCTGAGGTGAGGTCGTGCGTTTGACTCAATTTAAAACTTGTATTGACTTTAAGAAATTAAAATTGCTCCATACCCACCATAATTTCAGTTACCTGGTTTTAAAGATCTATCTGAACGCATTGCTCCAGCAGGTTGAGCTTCCTGAATAAAAAAATTCCTTGCAGGACATCGAATTCTTACTCCTGAATTCTGAAAGTGCTCGCTCATGTCTGAGTCTTCTGAGGCTAAATTTTCTGCCCTTGTCTGAAATGATATATTACTCGATCATATTACAAACATAGTTATTTTTATATCTGTAAAACAGTTCAGTGCTTATGCCTATACTATGGTAGGTCAAATAACGTTCACTTGAATTTGAATAGACACAAGCCTAACCATCGCACGATAAGAATTTAACCCGGTCAAGGCTGGTACTCTCGCAAAATCAAGGTAACGATATTCTTACCTAGCTACCAAAGCGTGAGAACTGTAAAATTTCTCACTGGTTTTCCTATAACAGAAAATTGTGGCTCTTCATAATTTTATGAGCACAATTTCTATTTACTTATGCGTTTTTCGTACATTTATGCGTGATATTTTGAATCTCTTCTGAATATTTCCGGACAAACAGTCACCGAAAAGAAATGTAGCCTTATACGCATGATGACCGATGAGGATTCTTACCCTTTATTTTGCTGCCTGAAATATTTAGACGGTTACGTATAACTCTAAAAAAATACGTATTTACTCACATAATAGAGGAGTAAAAATCGTGACAGTATCACATAAACTTTATCCGAAAGCTGCATTTTTCGACACCCATCACTTTCAAGTAAACGTGGGTTTCAAAATGGTAGGTAGGCACTGACACGTTTTACTTCACTTTTGTTTCAATCTAAGCATTAAAGAAGCTTTGGTGGCTTATTCAAAGGTTGTTTTTAGAATGTTTTACTCATAAAATATCCCTAATTCCTTTCTTCAGATTGAATTAATGTACTGAAACAACTGGTTCTAACATTACACTCGTCATTGTTGACGTAAATTGAGTGCGTTCAAGTCTGAAGCGTTGCTTGATAACGCACGCTCTTTATCAGAACTTAAATCTATACAGCTTCCGCAACGCCGCAACATCAGGAGATGAAATCATGTTCATCTGATCGAGGAACAATACTTTTAAGAATATTATGTATGGGGAAGAAATTGAAATAACAACGTGGCATCATTCTACTTACGCACATCAACGTTGCAATGTTACTGAGCTATTTTTGGTCAGTTGCTCGAGAAGACGTGAGAGCAGTGTTTATTTAGTTAAGTTGGTAACTCTGACGAGAAGCACTCATCATTGAAAAAGAGCGCACCCTGTAAAATCATTTTCCATATGCGCGCCCGTTGAGAGAGCCTCCTCCATGAGAACTCCGATCATTGCACTGGTGCTGTTTGCATATTTTGGAGTAGACGCTAGAATTGTCGAGTTCCTAGGGTCCCCTAGTAATTGAGGGAAATGTATTATACAGGGTGTTTCAGACCACCCGTACCAGGCCTTTTTCTCGGTTGGTTTTGGTCGTACGAAGTCGGTGACCGCGGAGATGAATAGGGAATTGACCCCAAGGAATCCGAATTTCGTGATCCCAAAACCCCCCCACCCCCCCTTGGGGGGTAAAGGGGGGGTCACGATGCTAAAAGTCACGGTTCCCGACCGAATGGCGGATAGATCGCATCAGAATTGAAAAGCACGGAAAATTTCACGTGGAATTGACCCCTAAAAATCCAAAATCGGACCATCCAAGGCCCAAAAATGACCCCCTAAGGAGGGGGCCAGTACCTCCCTCCATAATTTCTCTTTGGTCTCTAAAATTGACGTAAATTCTCCAGAAAAAGACGGTCTCCCATGTAATCGACCCCGAGGAGCTCAGGGAACATGAAATTTAGAGTCCTCGGGGTCGATTACATAGAAAACCGTCTTTTTTTGGAGAATCGACGTCAATTTTGCGACCAAAGAGGAATCTTGAGAAATTTTTGGTGGAAGCGAAGCCCCCATCCCCAGGGGGTTACTTTCTGCCGTTCAGGGGGTCTATTAGAACTCTTAGGAGTCACTTAAGATGTAAATGTATTCTGCTCCTCAATTTGGATGCAATCAATTTGCGATTCGGAAAGGAGCCCCGATTTTCAAAATTCGGCCCCCCCGTTTACCCCCCAAGGGGGACTAGAGGAGCTTCGGGACCATGAAATTTGGATTTCTCGAGGTCGATTACATGGGAAACCGTCTTTTTCTGGAGAATTTACGTCAATTTAGAGACCAAAGAGAAATTATGGAGGGAGGTACTGGCCCCCTCCTTAGGGGGTCATTTTTGGGCCTTGGATGGTCCGATTTTGGATTTTTAGGGGTCAATTCCACGTGAAATTTTCCGTGCTTTTCAATTCTGATGCGATCTATCCGCCATTCGGTCGGGAACCGTGACTTTTAGCATCGTGACTCCCCCTTTACCCCCCAAGGGGGGGTGGGGGGGTTTTGGGATCACGAAATTCGGATTCCTTGGGGTCAATTCCCTATTCATCTCCGCGGTCACCGACTTCGTACGACCAAAACCAACCGAGAAAAAGGCCTGGTACGGGTGGTCTGAAACACCCTGTATATACGTAACTTGAGCATATCGACGGTGAAAGTCGGCAATCACATAACTCGGTTTGCGACGTCGCAGACTTCCTGTCATACTTTATTTTTTAAATGGAAAACTACTCAACGGCAATTCTTTAAAACTGTCATGATTTTTCTTCTCAATGCGAAGAAAATTCTGCAAAAACTTCAAGAAATAGTATCAATTTGTTCCCCTTTAAAAAAATGACGTAGAGGCGGAGATTTTCAGACACCGCAAACGAGTTATGTGATTGCCGACTTTCACCGTCGA